AGACCAGGTAAAGTCAAATGCAGTTGAGGAGAAAACAGAGATCAATGCAAGAGAGAATATGAATGCAAGGGTCAAAATTGGTGGGAATACCTGTATTGGAGAAGTGGAACAGAATTCTTCCTCCGTAAGCCATGCGTGTCGTAAGAGGCAACTGAAATGCCGGGAGCAAGGGGCTAGTAACCCCATCTGCTGTATATATTACTAAATTTGAAAGGAGAAACTTTCATTTTTCCTTTTGGGCCACCCCACCTCAGTGGGATACGGCTGGTACGTTGAAAGAAAGACCTGTATTTAAAACATTGAAAGGGAAAGGAAGTGAGAAGAGCCTCTAATTGATCACAATGAGCCACTGTGTGACATCCCCCAGAGGTAATGAGCACTAAAATCTCCTGATAAGAGGCGAGGTGGAGGTAGGGAAGAAACCAGAAATTCAACATTAAAAATAGATGAAGGTTGAGAAGGAGAAAGATACAAAAAGCAGACTATATACCACTATTACTCTACTTCACTGAGTGTAATGCAGCAAAATATGAACAAAGATCTAAGTGTAATACACCAGTGCATACAAAAAGTGTACCTTCTTTAGTTTTTTTTTTTTTCCAACAAGTCGGCCGTCTCCAACCGAGGCAGGGTGATCCAAAAAAAGAAAGAAAATCCCCAAAAAGAAAATACTTTCATCATCATTCAACACTTTCACCACACTCACATATTATCACTGTTTTTGCAGAGGTGCTCAGAATACAACAGTTTAGAAGCATACACATATAAAGATACACAACATATCCCTCCAAACTGCCAATATCCCAAACCCCTCCTTTAAAGTGCAGGCATTGTACTTCCCATTTCCAGGACTCAAGTCAGACTATATGAAAATAACCGGTTTCCCTGAATCCCTTCACTAAATATTACCCTGCTCACACTCCAACAGATCGTCAGGTCCCAAGTACCATTCGTCTCCATTCACTCCTTGCTGGAAGTCCAAGCCCCTCGCCCACAAAACCTCCTTTACCCCCTCTCTCCAACCCTTTCGAGGACGACCCCTACCCCGCCTTCCTTCCCCTATAGATTTATATGCTTTCCATGTCATTCTACTTTGATCCACTCTCTCTAAATGACCAAACCACCTCAACAACCCTCTTCTGCCCTCTGACTAATACTTTTATTAACTCCACACCTTTTCCTAATTTCCACACTCCAAATTTTCTACATATTTACACCACACATTGCCCTAAAACAGGACATCTCCACTGCCTCCAACCGTCTCCTCGCTGCTGCATTTACCACCCAAGCTTCACACCCATATAAGAGTGTTGGTACTACTATACTTTCATACATTCCCTTCTTTGCCTCCATAGATAACGTTTTTTGACTCCACATATACCTCAACGCACCACTCACCTTTTTTCCCCTCATCAATTCTACGATTAACCTTATCCTTCATAAATCCATCCGCCGACACGTCAACTCCCAAGTACAGTGGTCCCCCGGTTTTCGTAGTTCCCGGCAATCATAAAATTCGCCAATCATAGGGGTATTTTCGTATAAACATGGACTCACTTTTCATAGGTTGACTCGCGAGTCGTAGTTCGTCCGGGACGCGTACCCACTGCGTGAGCCGGGGCAGCAGCCAGTCTGGCATTGTTTACCAGTGAGCGAAGGTCCCCTCACGTGCTCCAACGAAATATTTCATAATATTCCATTTATTTTAGTGCTTGCAAGTACTAAATAAGCTACCATGGCTCCAAAGAAAGCTCCTAATGTTCCATAGTGGCCAAGAAAAAGGAAATAAAGGATGCTGTTGTTGCAAAGGGAGTAACTATGCTGACAAAATGAGATCACCAGATACCGAAGGGGGTTAAAGAAGTTATTTTTTGGGTGGAAAAATGAAAAACCCAATTAGCAGGGGGATACCCCTTAAAACTGATTTTTTTGTAAAAAGGGCCCTAAAATTGCATGAAGTTTTTGGTAAAAAAATTTTGCCCCAAATAGGGGGTAAGTGTAAATTTTAAACCCCCTTTGACTGTCGGGGGCCTTTTTATTTTACGTTTACAGGTACCGGTTTGACGAATATATATTTCAAATTCTACGGCTTCAAATCACCGCGGAAAAACTGGTGGCCCCACATTTTGAGAGAAGGGGTCTGTGTGGTCAGGTGCACCATGTAAAAAAAAACCTGGGGGGCACGAGTGCAAAATTGAAAAAAAAACCAAACCGCCCTTTTTTTTTTTTTTTAAATTAACCCTTTACTGTCGCGGCCGAAAATAAATTTTTTACAGTGCCGTGTTAAACGTATAAAATACCAAAAATTCTAGGGGCTTCAAACCCAAGCCAGGAGAAAGCGGTGGGCCCCACTTTGGAGAAAATTTGGGCCCTGTGTGGCCCGTGGCCCCAAATTTTAAAAAAAACCCCCGGAGCACGCAGTGCAAATGAAAAAAAAAAAACTCCGCCCTTTTTTTTTAATTAAAATGCCGCCCTTTGGGGTCTATTTTCATATATATTATTTGTTTTCCTCGTTTTTTTTGGTCTCATTTTTGAAGGGAAAAACAAATTCCAGAAATAGGGGTGTTTTTTGATTGTTTTTCCCTAAAAAAGAACCTAAAATACTAAAAGGGGGGGAAATTTTGTTTTTTGGAAAATGTTCAAAAGAAAACCAAATGATCCTTTGGTCCAAAAAAATTAAAACTACCATTTTTAATTATGAAATCATGAAGGGGTTGGGATGTTATTTATACATTTATTACAGAAATTGCAGTAGTCTGCTAAAAAAAATCAAAAAATTTTTTTTTTGAAAAAAAAATTCAAAATAAAAACAAGAGAAATATCAGAAGGCCGGGAACGTGCCCTGATAAACCCAAAAAAAAATGTTTTTTTTAGGGGGCCGGGAATTTTTGCATTGTTCATTCTCCCTTATTTTAAAATTTTGCATATTTTTTATTTTTTTGTAAAATTTGGCCCAATTGCAAATTTCTGACCAAATTTAATTAGTAGTTGAAATAAAGTAAATGGGTATTTTCTTTTTTCCAATCGATAGAAAAAATAAAAGTTCTAAAAAAAACTATGAGTTTGGGCAACTGGAACAAGGAATTTAAACCAAAATAGGGTCAAAGGGGGCGAAATCCCGATTTGAAACAGGCCGGGGTCCGCTAATTTTCGCGAGCATAATTCCGTCATTTTTCCATCAAATTTCGTTTTTTTGGTTAAATTAAAATTCGGGAAAAGACTCCATTTCAAAATTTTTTTTTTTTTTTTTTTTTTTTTTTTGGGAAATTTTGCGAAACCAGAGACCCCCCTCAGGTTTGGGGTTTTGCGAAGCCCGGGGGTTTAAAGAGACCCAAAAAAACAGAACCTCCATAGTTTTTTTGGGGAGACAGGACCCCAAATTGACCTCAAGGTTTTCCTAGTGGCTTTAAAAGAAACAGAGAAAAAACAACCCCCCAAAAAAAAAAGGGTACCTGGGGGTTTGTTTAAAGGGGGTTTCCCCCTTTCCAGACTAAAAACAATCCACTCCCTCCTCCTCCCCCCCATCCCCCATACACTAAGAAGAATCTCCAAAAAAGGGTAAGTTTTTTTTTGGGGCCCTTGGTTTAATTTTTCATTCACCCTTTTCCCCATTGTATTTTTTTTATGTACAACAAGTATTTTTCATGTTAAAAATTTTTTTTGTTTTAAAAACTTTTTTGGGTGTCAGAAGGGTTTTAATTTTGTTTTTACATTTTTTTCTTAGGGGAAAATTGTTTCCCGAAAATCGTAAATTTCATTTTTTGTAACTGCTCCAGGGGGGGGGGGAATTTAAATTTTACAAAAACGGGGACCACGAAACGGAAAACATTCACTTTTTCCCAATATTTTCCTCCCCCCCCCTATTTGATATCCAATTTTTTTTATCTAAACATTTATCCCCCCCATCCCCTTTAAACTTTTTTCCCTATTTCACTTTCAACTTTCTACCTTTACACACATTCCCAAACTCATCCACTAACCTTTGCAATTTTTCTTTAGAATCTCCCATAAGCACAGTATCATCAGCAAAAAGTAACTGTCAATTCCCATTTTGAATTTGATTCCCCATAATTTAATCCCACCCCTCTCCCGAAAACCCTAGCATTTACTTCTTTTACAACCCCATCTATAAATATATTAAACAACCATGGTGACATTACACATCCCTGTCTAAGACCTACTTTTACCGGGAAGTATTCTCCCTCTCTTCTACACACCCTAACCTGAGCCTCACTATCCTCATAAAAACTCTTTACAGCATTTAGTAACTTACCACCTATTCCATACACTTGCAACATCTGCCACATTGCTCCTCTATCCACTCTATCAAAAATATTGTATTTATTTAAATTTCAAAACATTGGAGGCATAAAAGGCAAATTTTTAGTTGAATGTGTGGTAGATAAATGCAGTGATAAGAGGCAATACATCCTCTTGGAGATGTCACCAGTGAGTTTCCTAATGACTTCATCATAAGGACTATAAACAAGACTGACAAATACATCAAATAAAGACTTGTATAATTTACAAAGCCTTAGAAATGTTTGACAACTCGGTGTGTATAAAATGAAGTTTTAATATCATCCTTGCATCATAATTAGCCAATACCTGTCGATGCATATTTTCAGATCAATACCAGGAAAATTAGCCAACAGCCACTGATACCAACAGTGACACACCCCTAACCAATACCATGGTTTTCCAGGAAAATACTACTAAACAAATAATACAAGTCTCCACGACGATCAACAGATTCTCAAATTACAGTATTACAGTAAATGAGAAATCAATAGTTTTCCTGGAAAATTATTTAGGTAATTGGTACATACCTTAACATATATTTCCACAGGATGTAATTAACATTTCAAGTTAGCACCAGAAATTTCTATTAAAAAATGTAGTGAACACCTTTGCCTACACTGTCCTCTCAATGATACTAATGGATCATATAGTATACAACATACAGCTTATATAATGTTCTTGCTAACAAGTTTACTCACGTGGTGAATAAGAGCGGGATCTAGATCTTTCATAACGCTCATACTTGTCACAAGCCCTATCATATCTGTCATAGCGGTCATAATGTTGCTGCCGGTCATAACGATCATAGCCACCACCTCTGTAGTAACTCCTATCTCCACGGTCATATCTGTCAAGGAATAAAAGAAAAATGCATACTTTTTAAATATATAATGCATCATGAATAATTCTAATTATCAGCCATTAAAACATTTTCTCCTGGATTCTCTCATTTTAAACAAACATACAATATAGATTTCCATCATTTGGATTAATTATTGCTCAGTGTCCAAGTTATAGAAAATAGAAGCCTTAATTTTTTAGTTTAGAGAATTTCAAACTTTTCAAAATATTCACTTAATTTGAAGATCATTTTAAACTAAAAAATATGCAATCCTAAATTAGCAAGCTTTCTGAATGCGAGAAAAACGAATGAATGAATGAATGATATATTTGAGAGCCCTTAAAGGAATCCAATTCAAAACCCAGGGGTTCCTTTACCTGCATGCTAACCACTATCACCTCACTGAACTGTGTGAACATTAAGTATGTAAGAGTGACATATATATGCATTCCTGGCATCTCAGGACTCGGCCTATTAAAAGGTGTTGTAGCGCCACTTTCTGTTGTCATGTACTGGGCTAGAAAATGAAGCCTATACTGAAGCAAGTGCTACAAGAGACATGGTATGCCAAACTGGTTCCCACAATCATATCAGGGAGTCAAATGTTAGAACAGACCCCAAGAGTTGGAGCACACTCCTTTGTAAACACAAATAGGTCAATATAAATAGGTAATCATAAGGTTGAACAGTCAAACCAGTATTTGAACTTAGCTGGTTTTGCAATTCTTTTGAAGTATTGTAATACAAACCATGTTTGGAAATGGTGCAAAACTTACAAGTGGTGAAAAAGATAATTGCAGAGGAACAGATATTTTCCCTGTGGAACAAGCTAAAACTGAACAATCCTGTTCCACAAGCAAAACGCCCCACAAAGTTCCTGGCTGTACTTAGTCTTTCTTTCACTGAGAACCATGTTTGCCTACCCGACCTCCTGAAACAAGCACTCAATTCATCAAGCCCTCATTCTGAAATGCACAATACACCAGGAGTGGCTACACCTGCATACTACTGAGGACCAAGTCCTAATAAAAATGGAAGGATTCAGATGATGTCTTCCACTTTTGTAATCAATAATGTTCCATAATATAAGTATACTAAAGTCTTTGAAGTCTCCAGCCACACATTTTAATTTCATTTTAGATGAACCAAGAGTTAGAAGTGGAGCAATTTAATTTCCACATTACTGAATATTTAAAATAATCCTTAGCATGAAAGACAAAAATCTAAACTACAGGCAATTGACAGAAGTACTTGTATTCTTAATTAAGAAAATGGTATCAAAAGATACTATCAACAAGGCACTGAGAATGATTAATTCGTGTCAGAGAAAATACCTTTTCCTTTTAGATTCTTAGTATACTTTTATAGCTTAGGGGCAAAACTATGATCGGATTTTGTGATGGACAAGCGAATACCCAAAATTATATATATCATGCTTTGCAAAAATACAATCGTGCATCCATTACCTATAACTCCATTTCGTCAAAAATTTCAACAAATATTGGTAAATTACTTTGGTACGTAAAATTCGTTACAGAAATTCATTATAAGATATACAGAAAAACATCCAGTGGAAAGGGTTGCTTTGCAATTGTCAGGCAAGTTGAGTTTTTTTCACTCCAAGATCTAATCAAAAGCATCTACAGAACATTTGAACAATTCATTCACCTTTTCCAACATCTATTCCTTCACTCTGTTCCTTTTACTATCCTTCAATTTCTTGTACTTACAGCAGCCCTACAGTCTGTTCCATTTACTCTATTTTTCCTCCATCTCACTCCAGTGCTTTATTTTTGGATGCAATTAAATACCTAACCTTTAAGTATTTTACACATACAGATTACAAACCATTCGTTCTACATTCACAAGTTCATCTAAGTGATCTGAGGCAGTTCCAATTGTTAAAATGTACAAAAAGGTGTGTGTATAGCTCAAACCTTATATAAAGGAAAAGTTTAGCCATGAGTGACTCCAACAATCGTAATAACGCCACTCATGGTTAAATGTTCCTTTAATGAATGTCCTGAGCTGTGCACAAATCTTTCCAGTTCATCAGTCTCTCTAGCACTTACAACCAAGTGTTAAAATGCTTTTATTAACAAGCCTAAGCAGTAATTTTGTTTTTCACCCTTAAGAAGAATGATCCAAAGACAACAACATTCACCACCATTCATTCAGTAACTGTCTGCCAGAGAAGAGCAGGAATTACAATTCAAAGGGCCTTAAGAATTGCGAACATCTAAACCCAGTCTTTCATTCATAATATTAACAATTCCTTTTTAACATCTGTGTTGCATCCACAAATTTAGGTAACCCAACTTCAAAATTCCTATATGTTCCCTTTATCAGTAATGGCATACGAACAAGGAGCAACAAGCCCCTCACTCCCAGCCTTCTATTTACCTATAACATATGGCTTACTGGGAAAAAGATTCTAACTGAATTACAGGGTAGTACCTGTCTCCCATTAATGTTACTATCTACCAACCTGCTAACTATAGCCTAACATAATACATTTATGTAAAACAAAAACTATCACAGACCAAGGTCTCACTACCCTATTTTGTCAAGCAAGTTACTCAATGGAAGCTTAAGAATTTTCCGTGCAACTCTACTTACCAAGTGCTTACATAAAATTCTGTTAAACTGAATAGTTTATGAACAACTTTGTACAAACTCTTAACGACATTTCATCCTAAATATTACATAGCACACTGAAATTATCCAGTGCAACATCTCGATTACTAGACAGAATAGATTCCGAAGTGTCCAAAATATATTATATATCCCTGTTGTTTGTACATAAATCAAATACAGCACTGTTGCCTCTAACATAGGAGGAATGTGGAATTCAATATCAAGCCAGTGTTACAGTACTGGATGATTAAATTAACAATCAGGCTGAAGGACAAGATTGACATCTTAAGCCCCTAATTTATTTAAATTAGTTCAAAGTTAATAATTCAAATTCAATGGACAGATATACCACAGAAAATGTATTAATGATCTGAGGTAAGCCACTTTAGTAATCATAGGAAATACCACAGCAAACATTAAGTGATGTGGCTATCAAAATTAAGAAATTGTGGCTGCAAAAGCAAGTATATGAACCCTTGTCATCCTCAAATTATCCCATCTTACCTCATGCCATTGAGAATCCTCAATTCTTAGTGTTTCTCACATAATATTTGTGTTTCATGTGGACTTGTCAACTGCCAAAGGAACTTGTTCTTAATGAACCTGAATACTTCTCATTCAATGCTTAACAACCTTCACCAATAACTTGTGGTTCATCATCTTCAGCCCCGAGGCCTATACAATAGCTTCGGTATACTTGCTTAACTAGCTTGCCTCCACATGAATACTTTGTCTGGTGGTGGCTTGAGTTGTGCAGTAACTCCCAGGCCGGGTACATACCCACGATCATAATAGTCGCGGCGGCCACCACTGGAACGTTGCCTGTATCGTGGTGATGGAGAGCGGTATCTATCTCCCCTATATCCGCCGCCACCTCGCCCACCATATCCTCTGTCAAAACCACCTCGACTGAAAAAAAATATTACTAGTACTGCCAACATAAAGCTAAGCAATAAATATATCTAAGTACAGTTATTGCAGTACAGTATTACTTATAAAAAACTTATAAAAAACAGTAAGCTTTATTATCAGACAGCTTAATGTTTATATTTTTCATTACTGAAATTAAAGCTATGTAAGGATCCTACCAGCATAACTTCCACTGCAAAAATCCTTATTTATGACAATTTCTCAGTTATTTTCTATTCTCTAGAACAATAACCACTGGCTATCTCGATTAGTACCTAGGGTTCTTACAATTATTCCCTTCATATTTTTATTATAGTAAAATCAGGGCTGTGGAGTTGGAGTCTGACTCGGAATCAGTTCTTGGGTTACTGGAGTCGGTGAAGCGTACAGACTCCAACTACTAATAAATTTAAATTTTATACCTGTGTTAAAATTTCCTGCTCCACAGAAAATTTGATTAACCAATTTTTTTTCCCAATATATATTATTTTCAGGATGTAAATGATCAAATCAGATCTAAGAGCTTTTATGAGGATTTGGCAGAAGAAATTGTTTCTAAGAACAACGTGTTAGTCTTCAATCTCCTACAATATAACTTTCATTTCATTAAATTTAACGTTTCATGTTATATTCACAAATTTTATATTCAAACAATACTTTAATCTGGAAAAGGAAGGGTTATGTACCTAATTTATTTTAACATTTGTTAAGAGGTTTTAGGTGTTCAATTGCCTTTTAGTTTTCTGTAGTTTCAACTCTGAATTCTTCTTAGTAATGATATTTTAATAGTATCAAAGAATATATTTCAGATTTTTGAACTAGTAAAGAAATATGTTTCTGATTCAGATTTTCCTTTACACCCTATTACTTTACACTTGGTAAGTCTTATTTTAAAAATATAACGTCACTGTTTCCATTTTTCAAGTTTTGTCCTTTAACTAAGGTTACTGAATGTTTGTAACGTCTTGAATAAAAACAAAGCCAGATTGGCATAGCTATAGCATTTAGACCCAAGCTTTAACAGGTTACTGAGCTTAGGGTTCTAAAAAGTAGCCTATGATTCACACTGGCTGTGATGAAATGCCTTGTATGTTGCATGCTTGCAATCAATATAGGAAATATATAAATTAGTATATTAGTATGGAAGAAGTGAATGTTTTCAGATACTTGGGAGTTGACGTGTCGGCGGATGGATTTATGAAGGATGAGGTTAATCATAGAATTGATGAGGGAAAAAAGGTGAGTGGTGCGTTGAGGTATATGTGGAGTCAAAAAACGTTATCTATGAAGGCAAAGAAGGGAATGTATGAAAGTATAGTAGTACCAACACTCTTATATGGATGTGAAGCTTGGGTGGTAAATGCAGCAGCGATGAACGGTTGGAGCAGTGGAGATGTCCTGTCTAAGGGGAATGTGTGGTGTAAATATTATGCAGAAAATTCGAAGTGTGGAAATTAGGAGAAGGTGTGGAGTTAATAAAAGCATTATCAGAGGGCAGAAGAGGGTTGTTGAGGTGGTTTGGTCATTTAGAGAGAATGGATCAAAGTAGAATGACATGGAAAGCATATAAATCTATAGGGGAAGGAAAGAGGGTAGAGGTCGTCCTCGAAAGGGTTGGAAAGAGGGGGTAAAGGAGGTTTTGTGGGTGAGGGGCTTGGACTTCCAGCAAGCGTGCATGAGCGTGTTAGATAGGAGTGAATGGAGACGAATGATACTTGGGACCTGACGATCTGTTGGAGTGTGAGCAGGGTAATATTTAGTGAAGGATTCAGGGAAACCGTTATTTTCATATAGTCGGACTTGAGTCCTGGAAATGGGAAGTACAATGCCTGCACTTTAAAGGAGGAGTTTGGGATATTGGCAGTTTGGAGGGATATATTGTGTATCTCTATACGTATATGCTTCTAAACTGTTGTATTCTGAGCACCTCTGCAAAAGCAGTGATAATGTGTGTGTGTGGTGAAAGTGTTGAATGATGATGAAAGTATTTTCTTTTTGGGGATTTTCTTTCTTTTTTTTTGGGTCACCCTGCCTCGGTGGGAGACGACCGACTTGTTGAAAAAAAAAAAAAATTTACATCCCTATATCGATATATAATTAAAGGAGTCAGAGTTGGAAGTGCCACAAATAAAGGAATCGGAGTTTTTATGTGCCAACTCCACAGCCCTGAGTAAAATCACTGCAGTCATCTGACATGGCAACCCATCCTGGAGAGCAAACATTGTAACTTACTCTGACAAACCATCAGTAATGCAACTGGGGGGGGGGGGGTAATGGCAAGTTGGAATTTTACTGCCAAGCTTCCTCGGTCTTCTTAGTGGCTCCTCATTTACTGTTCAGGCATCACAGCTTGCCTTTATGAATTATTGCACTGAATTTTCTATATTCACGAAAATCGCTCTGCTGCAGAAAATTCTTCAAATATATCATCCATGCCTGCTGCCTTCACACACCTGTATCAATGCTTTTACATCTTCTAAGGATACTACAATATTCTATCTTGCACTTTTCTCATACTAGCAAATTCACATTTTCAAAGTTTTTGTAAACAATTCAAATATTCAACATACTAACTACAGTAGTTCCTCCACATAAAACAGTAATGAATTCCCAAAAAGATTTCAGAATCTAAACCTATTTTTACAGACAACTATATTATACTTTCCCAAGTCTCAGAATTCCTGATAGAATGTAATTTTTTCTTTAACTAAGAATATATACCCAATACTCTACAGCTAAACATTGTTTAATTAGCAAAAAACAGATGGCGTCAAAAAAAATAACAATTTTTTTTTTTCAACATGCTGGCCATCTCCCACCGAGGCAGGGCGACCCGAAAAAGAAAACACTCACCATCACTCACACAATCAGTCTTTGCAGAGGAATGCAGATCGACAGTTCTGATGTCACTAAATAGCAAATGTCCCAAAACCTTCCTTCAGAATGAAGGCACTGTGCTTCCCACCTCCAGGACTCAAACCTGGCTAACCAGTTTCCCTGAAACCCCTTCAGAAGATGTTACCTTCTCATAATCCAACAGCTCATCATGTCCCAAAAAAGCATTTTGTCTCCACTCACTAACATATATACATGCATATATATATTTTTTTTTTAACAAGTCGGCCATCTCCCACCAAGGCAGGGTGACCCAAAAAAAGAAAAAAATCCCCAAAAAGAAAATATTTTCATCATCATTCAACACTCACCTCACTCACACACAATCACTGTTTTTGCAGAGGTGCTCAGAACACGACAGTCTAGAAGCATACACGTATAAAGATACACAAAATATCCCTTCAAACTGTTAATATCTCGAACCCCTCCTTTAGAGTGCAGGTATTGTACTTCCCATTTCCAGGACTCGAGTCTGGTTATATAAAAATAACCGGTTTCCCTGAATCCCTTCACCAATATTACCCTGCTCACACTCCAACAGATAGTCAGGTTCCAAATACCATTCGTCTCCATTCACTCCTATCGAACACGCTCATTCAAGCCTGCTGGAAGTCCAAGCCCCTCGCCCACAAAACCTCCCTTACCCCTTCCTTCCAACCTTTTCGAGGATGACCCCTACCCCGCCTTCCTTCCCCTACAGATTTATATGCTCTCCATGTCATTCTACTTTGATCCATTCTCTCTAAATGACCAAACCACCTCAACAACCCCTCTTCAGCCCTCTGACTAATACTTTTATTAACTCCACACCTTCTCCTAATTTCCAAAATTCCAAAATTTCTGCATAATATTTGCACCACACATTGCCCTTAGACAGGACATCTCCACTGCCTCCAATCGCCTCCTCGCTGCTGCATTCACAACCCAAGCTTCACACCCATATAAGTGTGTTGCTACTACTATACTTTCATGCATTCCCTTCTTTTGCCTCCATAGAGAACTTTTTTGTCTCCACATATACCTCAACGCACCACTCACCTTTTTTCCCTCATTAATTGTATGATTAACCTCATCCTTCATAAATCCATCCGCCGACACGTCAACTCCCAAGTATCTGAAAACATTCACTTCTTCCATACTCCTCAATTTAATATCCAATTTTTCTTTATCTAAATCATTTGATACCCTCATCACCTTACTCTTTTCTATGTTCACTTTCAGCTTTCCACCTTTACACACACTCCCAAACTCATCCACTAACCTTTGCAATTTTTCTATAGAACTCCCATGAGCACAGTATCATCAGCAAAAAGCAACTGTGTCAATTCCCATTTTATATTTGATTCCCCATAATTTAATTCCACCCCTCTTCCAAACACCCTAGCATTTACTTCTTTTACAACCCCATCTATAAATATGTTAAACAACCATGGTGACATTACACATCCCTGTCTAAGACCTACTTTTACTGGGAAGTAGTCTCCCTCTCTTCTACACACCCTAACCTGAGCCTCACTATCCTCATAGAAAATCTTTACAGCATTTAGTAACTTTCCACCTATTTCATATACTTGCAACATCTGCCACATTGCTCCCTTATCCACTATCATATGCCTCTTCTAAATCCATAAATGCAATAAAAACTTTCCTACCTATATCATCCGCAATCCTACATTCTGTCCTACCTCTAATTCTTTCAATTATAACCCTACCGTACACTTTTCCTGGTAAACTCGGTAAACTTATTCCTCTATAATTTTTACAATCTCTTTTGTCCCCCATCCCTTTATATAAAGGGACTATACATGCTCTCCGCCAATCCCTAGGTACCTTCCCCTCTTTCATACATTAATTAAACAAAAATACCAACCACTCCAACACTATATCCCCCCCTGCTTTTAACATATATGTCATGATCCCATCAGTTCCAGCTGCTTTACCCCCTTTCATTCTACATAATACCTCACGCACCTCCCCCACACTCGCATCCTGTTCTTCTTCACTCCTAAAAGATAGTATACCTCCCTGGCCAGTGCAAGAAATTACCGCTTCCCTTTCTTCATCGACATTTAAAAGTTCAAAATATTCTCGCCATCTACCCAAAA